AATCCGTCCTTCTCACTTCCATGGTCTTCCCTAGAGCAATCCGTCCTTCTCTTCTTTATGTTCTTCCCCTGGAGCAATCAGTCTTTGCCCCCTTCCTGCTTTCCACCGAAACAACCGAAACAATCCGTTTGTCTCCACCTGGAGCAATCTGTCCCTCCCCTATTTCTATTACCCCCCGAGCAATCAGTCCTTCCCCTTTCATGATCTTCCCGCGGAAGAATATATCCCTTACATCCCCCGGAGCAATTCGTCCTTCTCCATTCCTGTTTTCCCCTAGAGCAATCCATTTTTCTCTCCTTCTTGTTTTCCGTGTGGAGTAATCATTCTTCTTCCTTCCTGTTCTCCCTAAAAGCAACCCGTCCTTCTTTCCTTCCGGTTCTCCCCCGGAGCAATTCAAACTTCTCCCCTTACTATCCTTTCCTCAGAGAAATCCGTCCTTCTCCCCTTACTTTTATTCCAAAGAGAAATCCGTCCTTCTCCCCTTCCTGTTATTCCAAAGAGTTAACCCGTCTTTCTCCCCTTCCTGTTATTCCAAAGAGAAATCTGTCCTTCTCCCCTTCCTGTTCTTCCAAAGAGAAATCCGTTCTTCTCCCCTTTCTATACTCTCCCCGGAGCAAACCTTGATTTAATTTCCTTATGTTAATCCTCTCCTAGAGCAGAGTACTCTCTGGAAATAAACAATTATTTTTCTTTTCTAGAACAATGTTTTTAACCACAGATAAAAACATAGCATCTATATCCACTATCCAGGGATGTTTCTTTTTCTTTTTTTGTTATTTAGAGAAATCTTCTAATTGTCGTACAGTGTATTTTCATAAAGAAACGAAGTCAATGATATGAAGTGATATTTAGAAGATACGTATTTTGTGAATCTGGAGAAAAAAATTGTGATAATTAATTTTGAACGGAATGGAGCAACTGGAGGGATAGAAACTATTATAATCTCTCAATAATTTGCTAACTACAGAAGAAGAAATTCCTAATGCACTTGCTTTCAAAGTACAGGGGGAAAGTTTCAATAATTAATTGTTCTTTGTGGTAAATATTTAATTTGTGGACAGCTCTTACAGGAAACTTAGTTTTCTTCTTGGAGAGGGGAAACATTAAGGTCTCATTAAACCTTGTTAGAATTCATAAGATTTAAAAAACTGGAAGAGAACGATTTTTTTGCTTTATTAATATCAAATTGTAGTTTACATTGAAAAGAAAAATACTCATCAACCTTAGAATTTTCCTAGTGTTGGCTTTAAAATAATAAATGAGATTATTTTTTAACCAAATTCTGGATTTTTTGGGGTATCAAATTTTGGGGAGCGTGGTTTGATTTAAGTTCTCCATGTGCAAGGTTAACTAGGTTATCCAGGTGCTAGTATGGCCACCCATGTGTGATTTCCTCAGGTTTCATTTCTCCTACAAACCTATAAATCCAACCCAGCTCCGGGTATGGAATATACACGGGGGGTGGAGTGTTCACTATATTGAATATACTCCTCTCTACTCCTAGTTATATATGCATACAATCCACCCATCATCAATATACATAGATAATACATCACTCCGGATACATACTAGATACCAGGCATGGATATCAACCGAATTCTCAACACAATGATAGAAATAAATCTCATGAAAGTTTTCTCTACTCTATTGTGGGTTGTACCAACATTAACCCTATTCAGGACGTTTTATGAAGTATTGATCTGCAGCCTTTCAATTTTTTTTACTTTTCTAACTAACACATGCCCCTTACTTTAGGCTCAAAGCTGGGCTTTTATACATATTGCCTGATTCCTCAGGCATACTGCCTTAATGCCTTATTCTACCTTTGTCTAACCCAACCTAATTTAGACCTGCTTACGGTCATATGATTTTGATTTTTTATAGCTCTTTGGAAAGCCTTGAAGAAAAGGAAGCAGATTGCAAAGTTTTTGCAAAGAAATTTTGCATAGATTTTTGCACAGATGCCTTCAAAGAGATTTTACAAATTTTCAGTTTTCCTTGGATAAAAATCTAGTTTTTGAAAATTTTGCAAACATTTTTACATTTTTGAATTCGCTGTCGAAAGGCCTTGTAAAAATGTAAAATTTATCATATTTCGCGCACTTGATATTGCAATAAATATTTGAAATTTTGTAAATTTGCAATTTTTTTGCATATTTTAACGTGGAGCCCAAAAGGGCTTTCCAAAGGTGTATTAAATGTTATAGATTTGTATCGAAATAAGGGGGGGGGTCCCTGGGACCCCTCCCCCCCCCCTCCCAGACTATTTTGGGTAAACCAGACGTCAACCTGAATAGGTTAAACCCTTTAAAAAACTTTTTGTCCTTTTCAAAGCATAATATGGATTTTAAGATATCTAAATGAATCATGTAAAATATACGAAGTACACACAGCTATTAAATACAAATGTTTTTTTCCAGCGGTGTTTATTTTCTCGAAAAATCTCCCCCCCCCCGCCCTTTTGAAAATCGAAAGTTTTGTAAGGTATTTTTAAGGGTTTTATTTGCTGAATTGTGGGAAATTATTGATATTTATGAGAATTTTTGGAAGAAAAGTATTAAAAAAGAAAAAAAATGCCTTTTAATGTCCAATTTTTAAAAAAAAATTTTTCAGAGCATCAAAATTCCCCCCCCCCCCTTGATGATTAAAACATACACTCATACTTTTTCATAAAAGGGGGGGGGGGAATTACAAATGTGTTTAATACCCTTGAGCGTCTCATTTTCAAAACTATTAGAACTGAACTCACGATTGTGCTAATCACATACAATCATCATACAAACAATCATATTTTTCTAGATTTTTATTTTTTTATTATTATTTTATTATTATTTTTAATTGTGCACGGAGACGGAAGAAAATCAGTGAATTGAAAATTGATAAAAATCTTTGCATATCTTTCTATATCCAAACCAAAGTCAAGGTTACATTTTAATAGGTGTATCAAAAAATATTTAAGAATGTTAAAAAGTTTTTAACAAGCCAAACAATCGTTAAAATCCAAGCCATGTTCAAAATTAACAGTAAAAAGTATTTTTGTCGAGAAACAATTTGAAGTAATAATTATCTTTTTTTACTGACAAAATTTAGGCGTAATAATTATCTATTTTTTATTGAGAAATTTGTTTGTTTTAAAAATTTACCAATAAATGTTTGAGAAATTGAGAACCTTATTTTTCTGCATTTTTTTGGCTTACCCTGTATCAGTTGTAGCTAGGTTTAGCGGAAGTTGAGGGCTGCGAACTAAAGATAAATCATTAATTAACGTTTCTGTTGAGTTTTCAGTTTATTTTAGCAGAGTCATGTTTTGTTATATTTATACAAGAGTTAGTTAGAACAAATTCTTTTTTCATAAATTTTCTGCCACCTTTCGATCATGTCATTCAGACATATCCTCTAACTTACTCGTTTTTTTAGCCTTTTTTTTCTTCTGTGTGCTTTTGTGTCTCTTTATCCTTGTATCCTGTATCCGTTATCCTTGTATCCTGTATCCGTTATCCTTTATCCTTGTATCCTGTATCCGTTATCCTTTTTCTAAATATCCCTTATCCTGATATCCTTGTAGCCTGATATACTTGTATCCCTGTATCCTTGTAAGACCTGTAGCCTGATATTCCTGTATCCCTGTATCCTTGTAAGACCTGTAGCCTGATATTCCTGTATCCCTGTATCCTTGTAAGACCTGAACCCTGATATTCCTGTATCCCTGTATCCTTGTAAGACCTGTAGCCTGATATTCCTGTATCCCTGTATCCTGGTAAGACCTGAACCCTGATATCCTTGAGCCCGGATCAAAAATGTCAATATAGTTTATGTCATACTTCATGTTTTAGATAAAGGTTACAGTAAAACACTTTTCTCCTAAAATGTATAATATAAATAAACAGTCTTTTCAGTCCATACTTCAGTTTTGATTCTCAATGAGAATGCATTTTATAAACTCATTTCAACATAAATTTACAATACAAACGAAATTTTTGAAATAATCGAAGGTTTTTGAAAAAGAAATGCTTGTAAATTTTTTTTTCTTTTTTAAAAAACTAATTGACAAAATTGATACTTTTTTCAAATTACTCTTCATTGGCGACGAAAGTACATATTGTAAATAATCAACAGGTTTGACAGGTTTAGTTAAATGTTGTATAATCTTTCAAGTTTTTCTTGGTGAATAGCGGATTGGATACAGTTTTATAACTAAAGTTACTGGGTTATATAAATAAGTGTTGTTGGATCATCAAATTAATAAAACCACAGTCACACACACAAAATCGGCCGTATTCGTTTTGATTTTGTTTTTTCGTATTAAAAGTGTGCATAATTTTAAGAATTTTTTCCCATCTGCTGTCTTTTTCTGTTTTATTTATTGTTTTTAGATAATAGCTAAATTATTTTGGTAATGATCTAGAAAAATTTAGACGCATTACGTTTATTTGGAACAGAAAAACAAAAAAAATATTTCAGTGTACATCAAAAGATAATCAGTAAAAATGAATATAAAAATGTATGAATAGGTATATTGATGGGTAGAAACTAAGATGAGTAGAAGGGGGGGGGGGTAGCCCCCAGTCCAGGTTAAAATTGCTGTTTTCACATGAATAACCCTACGGCCTAAGGTTGACGGATGGGTACTAACTAAGTACCACGGTTTTAGCTATTTTCAATTTAAACCAATTATTCTCTTTCAAACTATGCATGGAGAATTCTTAAAGGGGCAGTAGAAGTAGTTTCAAGTGATTACATTTTTTTTGAAGTGTCATTATCGATTCACATAAGTACCTTAAAACCTTTGCCCTGCTCAAGAATGTATGAGACATCCTAAATTTTCTGTTTGAAAGGGTATTGTTGTCGGGCATGTCCGTCTTTTTAAATTGGAGGTACCTTTCAATCACAACGACAGTATCATAAACAAAGAAAAACTCATAAATATTTTGCATTTCATTTAATATATATTAAATCTCTAGATTTTAATTAATTTAATTAACAAAATATTTTTGTTTCAGCGTGTGGATCCTGAGATAGTATTTACAAAACAAGAGAGGATTGGTAAAGGATCTTTCGGAGAAGTTTTTAAAGGAATAGACAATAGAACTCAACAGGTAGACATCTTATTTTTTGTAGCAGCAGCCATTTTGAATTTGTTATGTAGCCATTTTTGTCTTCAGCGGCCATATTGTTTTATTCATCACTCGTTTTTTTTTTCATTAGCTGCCGTTTTAATGTTGTTCAGCAGCCATATTGTTTTATTCGTCGGCTGTTTTATTTCCATTATGGAAGCAGCCATTTCATTTTCAAATTTGGGAGTATTTTTTATCAGCAGTAATTTTATTATTTCCATAATTTTCTATTATCGTTTATCACCAGAAAGTTGTAATTTTTTCGTTTTCAATTATTTGTCTGTTAATCAGTATCCGTTTTCTGTTTTCAATAACCATTTTCTTATCAAAGCATACCGTTATTATTTTGTTGTTATTCACAAATATGGATGTATGAATGTATGTAAAATGTACATTAGTCAATAATATATCAATAATATAAATGTATAACAGAGTTTATAGTTGTAAACTGCAGAGTATGTAAGGGTTAGGTATCTCATTAAATAAAAATACAAGGACAAGCATTCTAGGTTATAAACAGGAAGGAGGAAGAGGAGGGGGGGGGGGGTAATAACAACCACCTCTTAACTAGTTCTACGAGTTTACAATAGCGAATTGGTGTTTCTCACCTAGTTTTCGAGTAGATTTGCCTTTTCTTTGTAAAATTGTATTGCTTCGTCATATATTATATTAGCAAAATACCTTCATTATAAATTTTAGTTTATCAATAATAAAACAGCTTAATGAAAAAGAGTTTGAACCCAATTGAACGTAAACTATAATTGGCCGAACATAAATTGGTCTGGTCTGTATCCCTCAGAGAGCAGAGCTGAGATGACAACTTGAAGGGAAATGAGGGTTGAAAATATAAATCCCTCATCCTGGATCTGATTCCTTATTCTAACCTTGCTCTGGGTTCCTCAATAGTCTGCAATAATGTTAGTAGAAAAACTTCACCTTAAAAGGTTCATGTTTTCTCAATTCGTCTTGGATCATTTTCATCATTCTAATCTACAGACTGGAGCAGGAAGAAAAACAGGAAAACGGAGAATTGGTTCATTTTGCAGGATATTGGAATGAAGAATACATGGATACAGAATACAGAATACAGGGATATTGGATATAGGATACAGGGTACAGGACACAGAATACAGGGATACAGGAATACATGATTATTCAATAGAAGAATACATCATTACTTGGATGCAAAAATACATCAATACATTGATACAGGAATAAATTATGAACAGGATACAAGAAAATCAACTAAAGCAAAATTTAGGAACTCATGGCTACAGGAATACATGGATACAGAATGCTTGGTAAAATATTTTCAGCTAGATCCAAAATATAAACAGACAACTATATACATATTTATATATATTTGGTGAACAATTATGTCTATATATTATATATACATAAATCTGTATCCAAATATACATACAAACAACCTTTAGGCGATAATAATCCTCTAGCTCTATAGCCCTCCAGTGCAAAACATGCAAAACGACCATTATACGCAAAAATGCGTAAAGAGAGGCGGGTTGTGCGTAGGTGTGTAAATTTCAAGGATATGTTACTGAATCTAACAGAATCTATCACATCTATCATATTTGTGAACTATAATGAACATAATATTAGTCAGATCTAACATATCTGAGTGAACTATAATGAACATAATATTAGTCAGATTTAAGATATATGTGTGTAAACTAAAATGAACATAATATTAGTCAGATCTGAGTGAACTATATTGAACAGAATAGTACAATCCCTCCTACCCAACCTAGTACAGATTTTATCTCCATGTTGTGAACTTGGTTTAGATTTCTAATTTATTACTACACAGTATAAAAAGCTTAGTTTCGAATCTGCCTCAAGGTTCGGCTTCAAGTCAAAAGATTCATGATCGCTGACCTTTCCCGTTATAGTTGGTTATTAAAACCCAGGGCTACTGATAATAGTTCCGCGAATACCCACCTTGAAATAATATTGGATCTGAACTGATCATAGATCATCGACCTAGAGGGAAACATATTATATTTGATTGATTTTAATGGTTGTTATGATCAAGATTATAGAAGTACAAGAAAAATGTATTTGATCTTGATTATTCATTAATCATAGACTTAGGGTAAAAATTATGATTTCGATTGATTGAATTTGTTGATGATTGTGTTTTGATAAAGGTAATAGAAGTACTAGAAACATTGATCTTGATTGATCACAGACCTAGAGAAAAAAATGCATTTGATTTCGATAGATTGATTTTGTTGATTTTAATATTTTTATGATCAAGATTATAGGAGTATAGGAAAATGTATTTGATCTTGATCGATAATTGATCATAGACTTAGAGGAAAAAATATATGATTTTGATTGATTTATTTTGTTGATGTTTGTGTTATGATCAAGAAAAGGTGATTTTGATTGATCACAGACTATAGACGTAGACAAAAATATATTTGATTGATTTTTAGGTTGTTGCGATCAAGATAATAGACCTTGAGGAGGCTGAAGATGAGATTGAAGATATCCAACAGGAGATTATGGTTCTATCACAATGTGATTCACCCTTTGTTACCAAATATTTCGGATCCTTTCTAAAGGTAAATATTAAATGAATCCTTCACTAAAAAGTACCGTTAACAAAACCACCTTTAAACAAGTCTTTAAGGACAAGAGTTGTGAATCGTGCTTGGCATTTTTCAATTGAATGTTCTTTTAGTTGTAGGAATTGCAACCTGAGGTTAGACCCGTTTGAATTGATATTTTTCTTCAGAATTCGATTATCCTTTTTTTTAGTCCGACAAATTAGAAATCGGAAATACAATTATGATTAAGCAGTTTAAGCATGAACATGGAAAGTTGCCGTTGTTGATTATCCTTTCAAAAGTTTTAACCTCTGGTTTACCTGATTATAATTTCAAATATTTAAGTTTCTATATGAAAGATGGTTTAGTGTTTTAACCATGTTTGAAGGATAAGTTTGGTTTGGGGGTCAGGGTGCAGCTCATCTTTTTCCAGCGCATGTTAGGCCGCGTGCTTCTCCATATTAATGCATCTCTATGCAATATGCATTAGGAAAACCCTGCACATAGGCTTCACTCATATTTTTGATAAATTATCATCGGGGAACATCAGAGTGAGCCCCGAACATGAATTTTGAAGATATTCTTAAATATTTTCCTTGGTCTATCATTCTATGCATAACATTTGACCCCTTGTTCCATTGAACTTGCTTAACCCGTATTCTAATGAAGGCAGCTTTTTTATCTATTCTGCCCGGGTTAAATTAATTCATTAGTTTCCACTAGCTTTCTCCCTTCAACCACATAGTGCGTTCATAATTATTTTATCAGCAATGTTGAGCGCATTACAAGTCAAATCCATTTTTTTGAAATATTTTTTGTTTTTCTCCTTTTTTTTATTTTATTATCAAGAAAAACAATAAAGTAAAAATGTGAAAAACACTTTTTCGCTAATGTTTTTACTGCAGGGGTGGGGTGGGAGTCTATAGTATACTTGTACAGGTTAACTTTCAGGAACCGCGCTGTTAGGAATTCACTTCCTTAGAGTTAGTTCGTTAAAACTTTTATCTTTTACTTTTAATTTTTTTACAAATATTTGTTTGAATTTTAATTAAGTAAGTTTTCAAGGTAATCTAACATTTATTAATTAGTTTATCGTATTTATTATTTGCAGGGGACGAAGTTATGGATAATAATGGAATATTTGGGAGGTGGTTCAGCCCTAGATCTAATGAAAGCTGGAAGCCTAGAAGAGGTCTGTATTTTTAAACTCTTAATTAAAAAAAACAAATTTTGAATTTACATTCAATTACTCACAAGCTCTGCTTTTTAATCTCTTTATCTTTGCAACCAGATGTCGTAGACCTTGGATATTTCAAACTATGAATTCTGTTAGATCAAATAATCTAAGTTTGAAATATCAAAAGTTTACACCATCAAGGTTACAAATATATAGAAAATTTGAGATGGTGGTAATGACGTAATTACTTATGAATGTCAATACTATTACTCAATGCAAACATTATGTTTTCTGAATCAGTTTTGCGTTAAAAAGAGAACCATTCAAAATTTTGTTTGCTTTTCATTCATCTGCTCGAAGAAATATAAAAATAGATAAATTTCTAAATTTGATGTCGGAGTGCTGGTAAAATAATAAATGAATGCTTGAAGAAAGTGATTTCTCTAACATGGTATAATGGAGTTCCTTATTTGGTTTGGTAATTGTTTATTTATCATTCAGCACATTAAGATAAACTACTAATAGGTTTCTAATCGAGTCATTGGTTGGTTGGTTGGTTGGTTGATTAATTGATTTTCTATTTTAATTCATTTGTTAGTTTTCATTGAAACGTTCATGGTTTATGAATGTACATGTGCATATATGTTATACTTTAAATATTCTTATATTTGTATTTAGAAACCTGTTTATAGAAATTTGTAGAGTGATTGTCGTCTTCTTCTTACTTTTAACCAAGAAATGTTGCAATAGGAGCTTGTAATTTTTAATTGTTGGTGTATTTCTAGAAATGTTCACATACAAATTGTTTTATTAAAAGACAGAAGACGACAATTTTTACACTTTTTTCTTGTTACAATAATATTAATATTTAGATGCACATCTCTATAATCCTACGCGAGGTTCTTAAAGGATTAGAATACCTTCATATGGAAAGAAAATTGCATAGAGATATAAAGGTATAGTTTTTTATCTTCAATCTTCATCAAACTTTATACCAAGAAAGATACAGCAAGAACACCCTTATCTGTTTGTAAACACAATGTACTGCAGTTTTTGGGGGGAAATATAAAAGAACCTTTGCCTTGGTTCGTTTACATTCCGCCTCGAATAGCAGTACGCTTTTTTTGTCAACAAACTCATAGATGCTTCTGAGTTTTCTTCCTTTATTTTGGTGTTTTCCCAAAGGCATTTTCCCTGGGCGACTTCCCCAATATTCAATTTCCTTAGCGGTAACGGTTAGATTAGGCCTTCTAAGGCGCTCAGGTTGCAATGGGGCCGAGCGCTGCTATATCCAATTTTATCAGTTTTTTTTACTTATTTTTTAAACTGATCGTCTTAACCTCAAATTTTCTAAGTCTTATAACTTTGCTACCTAATGATGTCAACTTTTGATATTACAACTTTGACCTATTGATCTACCAGACTCCATGGTTCAAAAATCGAAATATTAAACAAAAGAATCAGGTTGCAAAGATTTTAAGATTAGAATTTTAAAGTTAAAGGCAAGAAATAGGGTTTTGATGCTTTTGTTTATTTTTGTAAATTTTTGATTGTTGAATATTTGATTGTTGATATATTTAGGCTGCTAACGTGCTGTTGAGTGATATGGGTGATGTCAAGCTGGCGGATTTTGGTGTCGCCGGTCAGCTTACTAATACAACTAGTAAACGAAATACATTTGTAGGAACACCATTCTGGATGGCTCCGGAAGTTATAAAACAGTCAGGTAAAGGCGTCGTTAAAATTTTTTATTGATTCAAACTTTATCCTTTATTAATTTTAAAAAGCAAAGACTTTTTATGTCGTCATTCAGTTCCCATGTTTATTGGGACTCTCTGATATTTACATTTATCTCATTTTCATCCTAAAAAATCAACTAATTTTTTTAAAGTTTTTGTTCAGATATTGAAAATAAAAGGTGAGCTGAGCATTTTTTATAAAATTGTACAAATCTTAATCCCCATCCTGTAGAATCTCATATTTTCTTAAACCTTGATCTTTATGACACATAAAACCAAACGAGGGATCCAATTTAATGCTAATCTCATATCTATTGAATGGTATGACCGAGGGGGAAAAAAATAGAAATTTTATGATAGTAAAGAGACTGATTACGTGATTTCCTCTGACTCAAATTTGGCTGTCCGATTCACTAGGGTACCCTTACAAGAGTTGTCTAATCAAGAATACATTATTTTTATTAAAAGTTATTATATTGAATTTTTTAATTTAAGTAAACCTTTTATTTCAGCGTATGACGCAAAGGCCGATGTGTGGAGTTTAGGGATAACAGCAATTGAGTTAGCTAAGGGAGAACCCCCCAACTCCGACCTCCACCCCATGAGGGTCCTCTTCCTTATCCCGAAGAACAATCCGCCCCAGTTGACTGGGAATTTCTCCAAACAGTTCAAGGAGTTTGTAGAAACCTGTTTAAATAAGGACCCAGAGAATGTAAGTATTTTGTTGTCCTCCATAACAATGTTGCTCAAACCTTAAATGACGCTATTAGAATAATAAAATGATTTTCGCATTTTTAAATTTTAAATTCCTTAAAACTCCTTTGGCCTGACTTTTAGTCCTCTCTTGCAACTCTATAATCATTTTAATCCTTTCAAGTCTTTCAACCTTTTTAAAGCTTTTAGTTTTTTAACCCCTTCAGTCCTTCAAACCTTTTCTAAACTTTTAATCCCTTTTTTAATCCTTTCAAGCCTTAAAATTGAAACTATTTCGATAATTTTAGTCCTTCCATCCTTTCTACCTCTATACATATTTTACCATCAACTTATTAAACTAATTCTTTTTATTTTGCAGCGACCGTCAGCTAAAGAGTTGATGCGGCATCCGTTTATCAAGAAGGCAAAGAAGAACTCCTACCTGATGGACCTAATTGACCGACACCGGAAGTGGAAGTTGACCCGCGGGGACGAGAGTGAATCTGACTCTGGAGGAGAGTCCGGGAGCGAGGCTACGGAGGACAGTGACACGGACTGGATAATGACGGTGAAGGGGAACCCTCTGGAGATGATGCGGGGGATGGAGGGGGTTGGATCAGATCCTATTTCTCCGCCCAGCTACGACAGCCTTGGATATTCAGAACCTGTAAATAGTGTCAATAATAAGGTTAACAAAATTTATTTCTTTATTTCAAAAAGTATTTCTTATATTTTTGACCTTTCTTGTCTTTGATTATTTTAAAAAACAGTATATTTGTTTATTAAATACAATTTGTTGTTTAAAAAGGTTTAGTGTTTCACATATGTGCGAGGAATATTAAATATTCTGTTTTAATTTAAAATTTCATTTTCAATTATGAAAATTCCAGGTATCAAATGGATTGGCTGTGAAAGAAGATAGGTCCAAAAGTCCTAACTCCGATCCCTGGGTTGGAAGTCCCACTAAGGAAGGACGAGGAGGAAGTCCATCCAAAGAGGTTCGAGGTCGGAGTCCTCCGAAAGAAGTGCGAGGTCGGAGTCCGCAGAAGGAAATCATCAGTTCCAGTATATCTCCATCCAAAAGTGATTCTTCCATTGTAAGTTTATCATTATTATTTTTATATTTTAATTTGAAATTTATATTTGCATAATGCCCACGTACTCCGTTGACGGATATGTCGGTTATTTATTTATTTTCAAAAATAGTATTCTTCTAAATATTGTGGAAAATTTTCCATTTGGGGAAGTATTTTGGTCATGCTATAAAAACGCTACTCTACAAAAACGCTATCCTACAAAAACGCTACCCTACAAAAACGCTACCCTACAAAAAACACTATCCTACAAAAACGCTATCCTACAAAAACGCTATCCTACAAAAACGCTATCCTACAAAAACGCTACCCTACAAAAACGCTACCCTACAAAAATGCAATCCTACAAAAACGCTACCCTACAAAAACACTACCTTACAAAAACGCTACCCTACAAAAACTCTACCCTATAAAAACGCTACATAGGCTATATTCGCTACAAGTTTATCGCCTGTTTTTGTTAGTGAATACGATTTGAACAATATGAAAGTTTTTAATTTATATATATTTAAATATTCCAATAGTTGTAAATTTGAAAAATTACAAGTGTATCACAAATTATTACATATATTTCTTGAATGAGCAATTAATTTTATTTTCATAATGATTTAACGATTTGAATAATTCAAAAGTTCATAATTTCAATAGATATATATTTAAAAATTCTCATAGTCGTAAATTGAAAAATAAACAAGTGTATCACAAAATATTTCATCTATTTCTTGAATGAGCAATTACTTCTATTTTTATGACATTTTAAATGTATATAACGGCCACAAACACACCTCTTTGAGTCTTTCCGCCTCTCTTACGTTTAAAATTTAAATTACATAGATGACAAATTCTGGTGATTGTCTGGTGTTGTATCCGACAGTTTAGTCCTTTTATCTAAAAATTGAAATATTTAGGAAATATTTAAAGGAATTTTTCATTCATATTATATTATATTATATTATATTATCTTGCCTTATGATTATAGGTAACAAATGTTGATTATAAGCATTAATATATTTTTCATCATATTACCTAAAATTGTTGTGGACTTTCTTTTTGTTCTGCACTGGGTCGACTGTGTGTTCAGAGCTAATCTCTCCTGGAGCAAGGTTGGAGTTTCTTGCATAATTGCAAAACTATGAATCTCAGGCTGTTGAATTTGCTCAACATCTGAGTTAACAGATCTCAGTGTCATCCTGGTAATCTGAGACTCAAACAACCTATATATTGAGTTATTAATTTTATTATAATGTTTCATTATGATGCTGTCATCAACTGGAGTAATGGACTGATAATGTCCAGCTTGAAAAAATGTTTCTTCAAACCACATGTTTCTTCAATGGGTTCATCTTCATTTATCCAGATTATTCTCTCTATTTCAAGTTGTTCTAGAAGGTTGAGGACAAAGCAGATCTAACAGAATTATAACAGTACTAAGGTGTACTTGGATCTAGCCGAACAAGCTGATCAGCTAAACTGTGAAACATACAGTTTCCATCTAAAGGAGTTATTGGTTGAGTTAATGAGAAAAAATCCTGTTTTTGATAATCTCTGTCAAGCCTTTTTCCATCCTTCTTGAAGTTGTAATAATCCACCGGATTACCATCGGACTATTATCATTGTTTGGACTATCCTTGTTTGGACTATCCTTGTTTGGACTTTCTTGTTTGGACTATCCTTGTTTGGTGATACATCTATATTTCGATAAATTTATTAGATTTACTTAGAATTGCAGCAACAACCGAAGTTGCATCGTTATTGTAACTACTAATTCTGAGAAACTAGATCCACTTATCTTCAAGAAGGTTATTCTTCTTCTCAATATTTTTTTAATGATTCAAATGTAATTTTGGTCAATATATTTATATATTAACCAGTAGGTAAACAATATCTTTTAGTTCATTTAATACATTTAAAAAGTTAATGCCTTATCTTTAATCATTTTCATTAGTTTTCATCTAAAAATAGTAGCGAATTTAGCCTTGGTAGTGGTTTGTTGCGTTTATTAGACACACGGTTTTTTTTGACAAACATTTTAGCCATAATTTTCTGGGAAAAGTTTTACATATAAATATTTGTCCTCATTTTCCCTTCTAATTTTTATTCTCATTCTTTTGTTACTTCGTTTTCTTTTAAACAAACTTAATCCGAATTAAGTCACATTTTTTTATTACTAAGAATTTTTGTTTAGGTGAACTCTGTAGAGAAGAAGAGAGAGTCAAGGAGCCTGGAGCAATTAAACGTTGCAGTAGAGAACAGAGCCAGGGAGGAGGAAGCTAGAAGAAACGCAGAGAACGAGAGAAGGAGGGAAATAGAGAACGAGAGAAGGAGGGAGGATGAGAAAGAGAGAAGGAGAGAGGATGAGAAGGAAAGAAGAAGGGAGGATGAGAAGGAGAGAAGAAGGGAGGATGAGAAGGAGAGGAGAAGGTTGGATGAGGAGAGAAAGAGGAAGGAGGAGCGAAGAAAGAGTGGGTCTGGATATAGAGAAAAATCCCCGAATAAACATTTAAAAGAGAAGGAGAACAAGGAGGAGAAGCGGAAGGATAAGGCGGAACGAGGACGGAAAAGTGATGAAGGAAGAAGAGATGACCGACGCACTAGTCTTAGCATTCTTCATAATACAGTCAATCCTTTGTTATCAGAGGTAAAACAGTCTTTTAAGTTATATTAAAGATCTTTGTATTTCTAATACCATTAACGATTCATATTGGTTTCCTTTAAACCTTAATCTAAGCACCGATCTTAGATTTTTTAATTTTTCGTGTAATTTCTTAAAGGGACGGAAAGCGTAATTTGAAGTGACCCTATTTAAAAAGATGGCAATGCCCGATTTACATCAGTACGCTTAAAAGCTATGTCTGATCAAGTATGAATAAGATATCCATTTTTTTTTAATTTAAACTGTTAACTTTCGTTCTCTGGAAGACTAACAATTTCTTGCTTTTAAGAAACAATGGAGAACTTCACAGAAATAAACAGTTTCTAGTCATAATTACTACCTAATCTTCCAAATTTTTGATTAAATTAAGGTTTCAAGGGTGTTGTTGTAAACTGGGCGTTGCTATATTTGCAAGGCAGGTCACTTAAAATTACGCTTACAGTCCCTTTAAGCGCAATCAATCAAGAAAGTAGAAAGATTGGTCCAACAAAAAGAAGCAGTTCAAACCTGTTATCAATCGTTTAAAAATTATTATTAGTAAATTATTAAAATAAATATTATCTATTTCAGTTGCAGCGACGTCACGGGTTGGGTCGTGAAAGTCGACACAGCGACGCTGTAGACGAATTAAAAAATGCATTTGAAATTGCCGAGAGGAGTTCACCAGGGATTACTAATAGGTAAGCAGATTTCTGTATCTTACAATTTTTTCTTTCAAATCAAATTTTTGTTTAAATAATCTAATTTACATATTTTTTTCTAAATAAACTAACTGACATTGCTATGCGGACAGATTTTATTCATTATTTATGGAATGAATTGATTGATGAGATATTTCTTTTTAGCAGGTAAATCTATTTTAAAATTCATGGTTTTTTGTTTGTTTTAGGTTTGTTGAGGATATTCTTCGTAAACTTCAACCATCCCTCTCCGATTCCAGGGTCCATCATGCTCTGGAAAATCTTTCAAGATAGTTACGTGACAACACAATGTAACGTGATAAAATTCAAAGTTACGTGACAATTTAGTGTAACGTTGTAGTATTTATTGTTAACTGAAAATGTAATGACGTAATACTATTGATTGATACGTGACAATGTAGTGTAAATTTATACTATTAAATGTTACGTTACAATTTAGTGTAACGTAAAACTAATTATTGTTACGTGACTATGTCGTGTAAAGTGATTCTATTTATTTTTATGTGACAAAGTAGCGTAACTTAATACTGTTTAATGTTACGTAACAATGTTGTGTAACATGATACTCTGTATTGTTACGTGACAATGTAGTGTAACATAATTCTATTCAATGTTACGTAACAATGTACTGTAACAAAACCATGTAAAATGATGCATACCATTGTAGTGTAACTTGTTACACAAAGATGCATTGGATTCAATGATACGTGACAATGTAATGTAACGTAATGCTATTATTTGTTACATGACCATACAATGTAACGTAAAATTTTCCATTTTTACATGACTATGTTATGTGGCAGTATCACCTTGTGCATCCATGTTGTCACGTGATCAAAACTGTTTTCACGATGTAATTATTTTGCATACGGGGGTTAGATTGTTTTCTTCCAGAGAATACGTATTCAATATATATGTATTGTATTAGATGTTTAATCAGTGTAAAAAGGATAAAAATCGGGAATAATTCACACAGGAACGTTATTTGAATTGTTATGCTCTCAACACTACTTTCCTGAGACTCCACTTGGTGATCACGTAACTTTCGGTAACGTGACTTATCCCTTAAAGGATAGCCTAGTATTTTATCTACCTATCTTATGTGATATACACGTATACTTAATCAGATATGGGTTTAATTATTGATAGCAAAAAATGCGCAACTTCCCTGATTGCTTAGTTTAAGAAGTGAAGAATTCCAGTTTTAGCAGCATAATATATTTTTAGAAGTAAACCCATATTCATTATTCCCAATCAAAACATTCCATATTTCCGAGAGTGGACATTTTGTGTTTTTTGACGATTAGTTTATTTTGCCAGTTGAACCCTATAATCATGTAATTGTTACTGTCATCATAATATTCTATTCTTTTGATTAAAAAAAGATTGAAATATATTTATATTTGAAATAATTTTATGTGTCGTTTAATTATTTTATCTAATGTTGACCATTGAGAGAATACTTGGATCGTCTGTCATAGCTCTCTCAAAATGTTATGCTACAGGGTGTCCCAATAAACATGGGAAGTGAGAGACGATTTGAAAGTCGTCTTTGATTTCTGATATTTATTGCTTGACGTAGAAAGAAAGAAAAACGAAGCTGAACGTCTGCCGTGCTCTACATAATATGGACTATACCTTTCTTACAAAATGGTAGTCCACTTTTATGAAAATCTCAAGACCAGGCGTTTTTGATGTTAGATTTTAAGCTGGAATATTTCAATAATTGTGTTTATGAAAAAAATTTGCATGGATCGAATACGATATAAAAGTCTTCACTGAATTATCATGCTTATTGGGACACCCTGTACATAATGTCTGATAGACATGGGTATTAAGATCGTCTTTGTAAATATTTTATTTTATTTTTTATGTATTTTCGTCTGCTAGAGTTCATCCATTATAATTTGTTTATGATTTGCTTGCAAACAAATGTTTTTAGTGATCCAAAAAAATCTATTATGCAGTAAAAACCAGAAAACTGTGGAATAGGAAGACGACTTTTAGGCACAAGTTTAGTATTTTTAGTGTTGACAGACCAATTTCACTAAATAAGAAATTTAATAAGTTATCAGAGAAACTATTTGTAATAAGTAATAACTACATATCAAGTACACTGAAGCGAGGGGAGGAAGGCCAACCACATCAATCTCCAGTCCGAATCACATTCTCCTCATTTTCTCGTCCGAACCACCTCGAAATCCTCGTCCTTTCGATCCTTGAAAATAAATACATTTTTTAAAAATATGGCGACGTTAGGGCATAACACATGACTAGAATAAAGTTTTCCAAGGATTTTGAGATATTGGAATCTTCAAATCCACGAGAATGATGTCAAACATTATTTAGGTAAAACTTAAATCTCTTCTGCCTCCATAATGGCTAACCTTCGTGATATAAAATAAATAGAAAATATTCGGCATATCTCTGCCTATAATTTTCCCCATGGAACCACCCGGAAAAATTCTATGGTTTTCACTATACTTAACAAAAAAGATTAAAGATCTATAAACTTGGAATTATTTGCGGCATTCTTCACCAGGAATATCTGAAAATGCGCGTAAAAAAGGTGTACATTTTTAAGGACATTAAACTTGAAATCTTTAATTCAATTGAAATTTTTTACTTTGATTTACAAAAATTTGAAATTTCATTTATGCCCTAACGTGGCTTGATTCTTAAAAAATAGTTTTATATGGAAGGATTAGACCATAGATAAATATAGATTGCGCATAAGACGACATTTTTCATCTTGAAAGATATAAATATACAGATGTGGCGGCGTAGTGGCGGAAGACGAGACTTCTGAGGAGTTTTGAACCTAAGATCTAGACGCGGCAAGAAGAGCAATTTCCGGCCACGTCACCTATCTACCTATTTAAATCTTTTACATTTTTAGAATTTAAAGTATATAAATTTAGTAATAAAGTAATTATTTAACCAGGCGTTTGTTAAATTGAGCGTAGCTAAACAGAGATGTTTTAAAAATATTCCTATTATATAGATTACGTAGGTCGGTTGTGAACATTGGCTGTTCTTATATCATTAAGTACTTGTGGTGTACATGAGTTCTGTAGAGAGACATTAAAGTTAGTTTAGTCCTTCTCATGTCCTTCTTCAGCTCTCGTCAATATGATAGCTTGCTCAGTGAAATATTGTTGTTCAAATAGTTCCATTCCCGGAGTTATTTTACACTCTATTATTAAATCCATTAAAACACCAAACCACCCCGCTTATCAATGAAGTACACTTTGACCCCTGGAAGTATGAGCTCGCGGACTGTACAATTCTTGGTGATTTTGCGTACATAAGCTATCTATGTTTATTTATTTATCTATGGATTAGACACTTAAAAAAATAATATTGAAAGGACGAGGATTTCGAGGTGGTTCATACGAGAAAATAAGGAGAATGTGGTTCGGACTAGAGATTGATGTGGTTGGCCTTCCTCCCCCCTCCTGAAGCAGTGCTTTGATGTATACCTATTCAGCAGTTCTCTGGTTCTCACTGTGAAAACCAATAGTTCACTAGTTACATGGTAGTCTCCCTCTTTTTGCTCTTCATCTTGGCAAAATATTACTTACATAGATTTCTGCAGAAAAATAAAACAGACTTTTATCGTTAACATTGAATCTCTTACAGCGATTATCGATAACCAGAAAACTCTGAAATAGGAAACTTAGAATCAAGTTATAATTATAAAATGTCGATGAGCATGAGAGTGAGACACAGCAATTGTGCAGTATAAACAGACCGATTTAACTAAATTAATTTTCAATATGTGTCTAATAAAACTATTTGCACCAACATCAAGTATGCTAAAGTATTCCTAATATGTCGTCTTCCTACTCCAATATTTTTCACTATTAATTCTTTTTTTTAAATTAGGTGTGCTATCTGACATAATCGACAGCTTTTATCCACAAAATTTAGGCATTATTAATATCGGAAATAAGCCAAACGTCCAACTTGTGTTTTCAGGTCTTGCGTCGTGAAAAAAATATCTAAATCTTCGATGAAATTTAAACCATTCAATATCTGAAAAATTCTTATTTTAAATTTATACGCATCGAGGGATTACAGGGTGTCCCAAAAAACATGGGAATTCAGTGACGAATTCGATATCGTCTTTGTTATGAATTAGCATAGTAATACCTTTTTCAAGAGCCATAATATTATTATGTCTGCTAGAGTTTATTTAATGAAAAGGGTAAAAGACTGTAAAGATGTGTTTATAATGTCTCCGCAAGATGAACAGTGAGGACGGACAAGTTTACTCTGTTTGTATACTGTAATTTTCTTGTTTTACTAAGTACAACCTATTGCAGTCAAAACATAAACAAACAAAATGTGAACATAGCAGACGAAAGTCTTACAGATTACAGCTTTCTCAGTAGGTATCACTAAACTAAATCAAAGAATTAGTTAAAAAGACGATATCGAATTCGTCACTGAATTCCCATGTTTTTTGGGACACCCTGTATATTGCAAAATATTATTTATCATTCAAATCGTCACATCATCTGCAGACTGGATAAACACCAGGCCCGAATGTATTTAGAAGATGACATTCTATAAGTCCATTGAAGCATAGAGGATACATATTTGTACAATTAAGATACATTAGTACCCCTTGCAATACAAATTTGTGTCATTTAATAAAGTAAATGTTTAAAAAATTCTGTTTTGTCTACTTTTACCATCAGTATAGTTGTACTATGTACATTTAACATGCAATCAAAGAGAATAGAATATATATTAGAGGGGAATTTACTAAAAAAAAGTGTAAAAACGGCCATTTTGCTGTACTGTTTACATACTGCAGGTGTACTTCAAATACTTATGCTATATAACCTTGTTGACCTTTAAAAAGGTCAAAAAATATTCTAATAAAGAAATCAGGAAAACCCAAATATTCTATAACATTTATTTATGAAAAATAAGATTTGTTTTGAAATATTTGCACATATTGCTAAGTTAAAATTGGTTGATTGAAATTAATAAAGGAAAGACAAACATCAGCAGCAACTTCATGTTGAATAATAGTGTTGAAAGGATTGGAACAGTTGGAGCTTCATGATGGTCAGCTCACAGGTGTCAGCATCTTGGCAGCAAAGGGTTCACATCTAAGCGACGGTCCTGGAGGGTTTTGATCGCATCTAGGCGACGGTCCTGGAGGGTTTTGTTCGCATCTAGGCGACGGTCCTGGAGGGTTTTGTTCGCATCTAGGCGACGGTCCTGGAGGGTTTTGAGGCTTAGACATTAGCAGCATTTGTTGCTAGAGTAGACATCGGCGGCGGGATGAAGGAGTTAGTAGTTCCAGATTAGAGGTGTTCGCATCTCGACATTCTAAAGCTAACTGACGCTGGATGAAGTGGGAGCTAGGCTGAGCGGGGATTTGACATGTGGGGCGTGCTTGCTTCATTTCGTGGTTCCTGTGTACACACGCATTTAGAGAATTAACAGAGGCATTTTGGGCCGGTAAAATCGTCTTCCTTATATTTTCGAATTTATGTTAACAAACCTATATAACCTGGAACATCATTTTATAGAAAATCTAAAATTAATATTAAAAGAAACCCAAATTATGAAATAGGCTGGTTTCATAATTGACCAATGATCATTTCACTTAGACTCTATGTCTTTCACTTTACAAACGATGATTTTCCGTTATAACTATAAATCAAATGATGTCTTTTATTCACCTAATTCATTATAAAGTTTATTTAACAGATTTAAAAAATTATAAAAAATATATATACAAGGCTTTCGGAACGCCCATCTTCTATTTCAATTGTAAACATGTTCTCTTTGTGTACATTGTAAAACAAAATAAAAAAAGTTCGGGTTTCATTAAAAAAAATATTGAAAATCGAATTTTGTTGGAGGCAAATTTGGGCAATTTTGATCATTCATAAAATTTGTGTAAAAGTGAGCAGAAAATAGTTCACACTTTCCCTATTTAAAGTAACTAGAAAATAAAAAAAGTTCGCGGATTTCAACAAAATTTTCGTGGATTTTCAAAATTTTCAAAAATTGAATGAAAAATTAATTCTGATGAAGGCAAAATATTTAAATTTTGTTCATTCAAAAACCTTTCCTAGGACCACGTGAGGTCCCACACAAAAGTTGGGCCCGATCGGTTGAGCCGTTTTGACGTTTATTGGATACACACAAACACCAGGACAGACAGATAGACAAGCAAAGTTATATATAGATTAAGTTTATTTTCTTACAGTAGGATAAAGTTCTTATTTTTATTTTTTTAAATCTATAAAATCTATAATTTATGTAACGTTCACATCATATTTTGTAAGGAAATTGTGAGATATAAAATCTTCAGTACAACAAAAACTACTCAAGGTGTATATTTGGCCTTTTTTTTAATTTTATATAATATATATATAATATAA